CATCGGATTTCTTCAAGGCCCCATCAGTGGCAGTCTTGGTCTTCCTCAGTTGGTCTGCCCTCCAGATCTGCTCGCAGATGCCCATATAAGTCTACAACAACAAAGGAGATAAGGGTCAGACGTACAACATACATTACACAAAACGAAGGCGAATAAACCTAGAAGGAAAGAATGACTTACGGAGGCGCTACTCAGGAGAATCCTAGAATTAAGGGCATCCTCTTCCATTCGAGACAGCATCGCCCTGTCCCCTGAAGGCATCACCTGGCTCATAAACACAGAGGGGCATAGAGTAGCTTCCAGAACAGAGCTACCCCTCGGCATGAAGGCCTCCAGCTTCTCCCGACCGAAGAAATCCTCGTTGATGAACTCCTAAGGCATGTGGCTGGAGCCGACGACATCATCCACGACTATCACCTCGTCAGAGACAGGTTGCTTGTCGGAGTCGACCACCTTATGCTTCTTTGTCGAGGGCTCAAGCTCCTTCTCGGGCTTTTTCTTCCTGGCCACATCGACCTGACGTCCCCCAACCTCACCTCCAGCCGCTGTCGCTCAAGAGGGCTCCTCACCCCCTTTTGAAAGAAGGCATCCACGGGTTTTTGTTTGCTCGACTGCTTCTTGCTCTGGGCCTTGCCCCTCTGCTTCTTCAACTCCGCGAAGGATTGGACGTCCATGTTGGTACCATCAAAGATAAACAAAATATGAGGGCGAGGGGATCACAACGAACGACGAAAGAGGAACAATGCAAAGAATTTTTCTAAGTACAACGATATGAAGGCTTCGGGAAACACCTCCGACTCCTCCCTCGGGTCTCGGGGCATTCTCAAAAACCCAATCTATCAACGAGTACTTTTCCTCATTTTCGCCCAGGGGACGGTACCAGCGGAACCCTGAGTGAGTCATACACCTCATTCGGGGCGGTGACATCCTTGATGGTCCGCAATTTGGTGGCCCCCACCGGAAAAGCTGAAATCTTTTTCGCATCTTTTTCGAGGGCCGCACTCTTTACCTTCAGATGGCATCTATAACTATTCCGAAGGGGCTCGACAAATGGGTTGTCCGCTATGCGGATGTAGCAGAACTTGTCCTTCCATCCCTTATGGGATGAAGGAGCCTCACAAAATAGTCTCCACTCCGGCACTTGATGAAGGTTGGCGAACCCCTCGCTGTTAGCGTGCCCGCCCCGGTATAGATTAAAGCATAAAAAAAGATCCAAGGAGGGTTTTACCCCCTTGTCCCGACAAACAGAAAGAAAACCAGCCAAATAAGAATGGTTGTTGGGTGTCAATTGGCAGGGGGGCTAATCTCACAAAACTTCAAATACTCCACCACAAATGGGTGGAAGGGAAATCGAAGGCCCAATTCCACCGAGAGGATATGTACTATGAAGCAGCCCTCGGGAGCATGGGAAAACACATTGATCATTAGGACCCGACTCTATCACCATTACCGAGGGCCCAACATAGAGCCGAGTGAGATGATACTCAGTTTGAACAGCCTTCGACTTCAGGGCAAGGGCGGCAATATTCAGGAACGAATACCCCTCAGGGATATCGATGGGCTTCCCAGCATCTGCAGCCGCTTGTTTCTTCCTGGGGGGCAGCACTCATCTTCTTTTCCTTCTTCAACGGAGCAGCTCTGAGAGGTTCCGGGCTGAGGGCTCGTGAAGTCCCTTCTTCACTGGCTACTGCCGAAGGGATAACAACAGTAACTTGTCGTCGCTCCTTCTCCTCCTCCTCCGCGATTTGAACGGCGAGGGCCAGCTCCTCGTCCTTGTTGACTTGCTCGAATTCCTCGGCCTCAGCCTCGGCTCTGAGGTTGATCTGGACCTCCATGGCCACAACAGAATCATTGTTTAACGAGGCCTCATCTTACTGACTTCGCGTCCGACCAAGTCTCGGTCTGGACCAAAGGCTCTCTGGAGATATCTTGCGAGTCACTAGCAGACGACATCCTTCGGGACGATTGAAGAAAGGAGTTGGAGAAAGGAGGAAGGGTTCTAATGGACTAACACTAGATTTAGAGCTTGCTATGAAAAATATGGCTAAAGAGTCAAGAACGGACGAAGAACTAACCTCGAAGACTTGAGTTTGATCGAAGGCAAGTGTTTATCTCTCTAGAAAATTTGCCAGAGCTTCGCCTCAGTTCTAAACGCATAAGCCAAATGGGTGCGGCCTTGGGGTATTTATAGCCCCCCCAACCACGGTTAGCCTCGAGGCATGGGCCTCCGGTTAAGAGCCCATCATTACGGGCCGCAGTTTTGGGCCAATGGTTGACACCTGCCCGCTTTCAGCCAACAGACGCATGCCACGTGGACACCACCACCAACGACTATATTTCAACAGCCACATTGCAGCAATGCCCTCAGCTGACCCCTTCGGACAACAGAATGACATGCCTTCGGCTCGGTGCACATTCCTTCGAGTGGCCCTCCGGCAATCACGCATCAGCTAAACATGATGCCTCCGGGGTATCAGATAGTGCTACACCCTTCGCCAACATATGCCCTCAAGTGTATGCAGTGCACGATAACTCCTTCAGCCCGAACTAGTCTTCGGCCTAAAGGAGTGGGGGACTTCGGTATACACCCCTCGGGAAACAGTGAACAAAAATTCACACATGCAAAAAAAAACTACAAAGGACACATGTTGCCAACATACCCCTCGGCACATACGCAGAAAATAAAAAATTTCCTACAAACCATCAGCCATTATACGAATAGGAACAAAGCAGCCTTCGCACCAACAGCGGATGCACACTCATGAACACTTCCCCCCCAGGAAGCCCTCAGACCTCGACATGTGGGGGACTGGGGGACTCCTCTCGGTAAACACCAGAGAGCATATAACCAACGGAAGGAAACTCCCACAACGAGGATGCCTTCGACAGAACAACGACAATTACTCCTTTTCGCTCAAGTACCTTTCGACAAAAGGAGTGAGGGACTCCTGATGGAGTATATGGCCCAGGCCCCCCATCCCACAGATTCTTAATTCTCCAACACGGGCCCATCAAACCCGATGAGCACACAAAGCCCAAAAAAGGCGGCCCAAAGCATGAAGAAGCCCACGGTGCACATGTGGATGCCTTCAGCCCTAGCCTATGGCCGAGGGCTCCAAATTCTAGAAGACAACTTTATATGGACCTGCAAAGTTTCTGGGAAATTCTAGCTGAAATGTTAGCCTTTGGCTATTCCATGCCCTCGACTGTATATAGCCTTCCACTATATGATGCCTTCGGCTATATGATCACTGGGTAGGCCTTCGGCAACAACACTCTCGGCGAAGATTCCTTTTAGAGACAGTCAACCACCGCATTCAATGTGGCGTCACGTCCAACCACCGCATTTAATGTGGTGCACATGTAAATGACGGTGCCATTCCCGGTTGAGGTGACCCTCAACCATCATATGTTTGACACGTGTCCCCGCCTAGCATTTATAGCTACTATAAATAGCATCCCTTACTCCTCTTGTAAAGGAATCCCAGATCAGAATTGATTAATATATCTAACTCTCTCTCTCTCTCTCTTATTTATTGCTCTGACTTCTCTCTAAGTTATTTGCCGTAATAACCTTTCAGATAAGCTACCACCGGGTACACTATCCATCACACTCAATCAGATCAGAAATATTCAAATCAAATCATAAAGTTTCAGATCATAAAGATTCAGATCAGATCACAAGGACTCGGATCAGAAAGATTCAGATCACATTAGAATATATCAGAAAGATTCAGATCAGATCAAAAGGATTTAGATCATACTCCCTCTGTCCCTTAAAACTTTGTCAAGTTTGACCGGCACGGGAATTAATAAAGTAAAAACTGTGTGGTTGGGGTTTATGCAAAGGAGAGAGAATTAATTGGAACCATAAATTCTTTACTTAAAAGAGAAAGTGACAAAGTTAGTGGGACATCCAAAAAAGGAAAGTTGACAAGGTTTTAAGGGACGAAGGGAGGGAGTATCAGATAAAAGAATTCATATCAAATCAAATTAAATCTTAAAAAATTTATATCAGAAATGAGGAACATGTAAGTTTCTAACACATGAATTTAAGGGGGTGTCCCCAACACGGATTATAAAAGATTTTAATGGAGTTTAGAATTTCATCCAAATTCAGGTGTCCTCAACTTAGATTTTTATAGAGTATTAAAATTCGGGCATCCTCAAACATTTCATGGATTTCTTTCATTTGGATTTCAGGTGATTTTAATGGAATTGGGTATGAAAAATAACACTAATCCATTCCACCGATTCTCTTGCCCTCACCCCTCGGATTTGAAGTCATTCATTCTCGTTCATACGCCCCTCTATTATAACGGCAGACAACATTAGCAGCTCACATTCCAAGCAACCTTCTTCAAAATTCCGCTCGAACTTTAAGCAGGTGTTTGAACCTTCTTAAAGAGGATTCATAACTGTTGAGTTCAATCCATTCAAGCAGGTGAAATTTCAGAAAAGTTTGTGCTAGATATCATCCAGATGTGCGAGTGAATTGATGACGATTGCAAAGTGTTCTTCCAACTTTTCCAATCTGGAATTCCATATTTGAAACTGGGATTCCCAGCCAAATTTTATTTTGAACAATCCCTGGGAAAAGGAGAACCAGTGACAAATTTGATGATGTCGATTCTGCCGGAAATTGATGTGGGGTGTGAAGTTACCCTTGTCCAGAAGAAGACCTGGCCGGGCTTTGAAATTGATTTCTGGACGGAGAGGAAAGGTCGCCGTTCGTGGTACAGGACTGGAAAAGATGGTGGGCCCGATCTCGTTGCTGGAGCGTTCGCAGGTGTGGGTTGGGAATTAGGGTAGGGGTTTGCACCGGCTCGTATTTCAAATTTATTAAAATCCATTGAAATCCAGATGATTCCATGAAATATAATTCCGTAGAATTTCATATGAATCTCATGTGATCTGTAGAATTTCATTAAAATCCATAGAATCTACCGTCATTTAAAATCATTTAAAATCCGTGTTGGGGACGGCTAAAGAAAAAGCATCTCCCACGTGTGGCTGTGGCCATCCAATAGCCCAGTCGACCTTATCCAGACCGACTTCGTACTTTCCCTTTAGCCTCTTCTATCGATCCCAACGGCATGATGTTATCGGCGGTAGCTCAGCCGGCGGTAAATCGTATTCTCGAATCTCCGCCATCTTCATTTTCTTATCAGAAACTGCTTCCAAACAAAGTTGAGTTCTCCGCACGCCTACGAGGGTCCCAATCTCAACTATCCGTTGCTCTCTCGAGAAAGCTCAGCGTCTCCGCATTTTCCGCAGCAGCTGTGGATTCCTTATCCGGAGGAAGCGTAGCGATTGACTTACAATCTCCAACTCCCTCCCTTCAGAAAGAGGTAAATAATTTCGGTTTTCATCAATTTCATCATAGAATCACAGTAATTGCATACTAGCAAAAAGTGAGAAAAAAGGCTTGCCCAGGTTCTTTCCGTTTTGTATTGCTCTGAAAATAATAGTTGTTTCTTGAAAATGCAGAAGCTTGGAGTTGTGGTAAAGCCAATGGAGAAACCTAGATTAGTACTAAAGTTCATATGGATGGAGAAGAACATTGGGATTGCGCTTGACCAATTGATACCCGGGCATGGCACCGTCCCTTTAAGTCCTTACTATTTTTGGCCAAGGAAAGATGCTTGGGAAGAGCTGAAGGTGATGCTAGAGAGCAAGCCTTGGGTTTCCCAGAAGCAGATGATTCTTCTTCTAAATCAGGCCACTGATATAATCAATCTATGGCAACAGAGTGGTGGCAATTTGGTGTAGCCTTTTCTTTTATGGTGCTACTAGGTGCTATCTATTCACTTGTAACATTGCCTTGCTCTGCTTCTTTTGGTTTAGATTATTATTATGCTTTTACAATTCTGCTCAATCTGACATTTTAGTAATTTCTTGTACATTTTTTACTGAACTGCTTTTTTTTAGTGCCCAACTTATTTTCATCAAAGTTTCATAGTTCATCCTCAGATTTAGCTGTTGTATTAGCATCACACTTTACTTTTTAGTGGTATCAAGCTGTTAGTATTGTATTCAACTTGTATCTTCTCCTTACTTGAGTTATGCTAAGAAACACAAAAGAAGGTTTGAGAGTTTTGGGTCTCAACAAAACCCCCAATCTCTTACACAGTTACACGTTCTTTGTTAGAGAGGTAGCAAAGTGAAGTGCTATGTTCCAAGAACCCCATTGGGCCATTTCCCATGCCATTTCATGATGTGAATAGCTTAATACACTTGTACTTTGCGCTTAAGTAATCGTAAATCTGTCTACCTTCATATCGCCATTAAGAAATGCTGTTTATCTTCCCGTTAGTAATGCCTTACCCATAGAAATCTTTTAATCACGTCTGCCTTTCTTTTCTACATCACTGAACCCATTTCACTGGCTTAGTGAACTTAGCCGCTGAGGACCCAGTTCGTCCGCAGAAGATTGCCGTATTCGCCCCCTTTGTCTTGATTAGTTGATTTTAATGGTTATTGCATATAAGAAGGTAATTTAACTTCATATACGCCTGAAAATCGCTCATGGCCCTACGTTTTTCAACCCCCGTTACAACTTAAGTTATGTAAATCAAAGAAGCCTTCTCACCTTCACTCGTCCCATTATTTTATGAGTTTGTAATCGTTTGCTTTTGAGTTGATTTGTAATTGTATTTTAGCATTCATTTGTAAGTTGTAAGTAGTGGTAAGCTTGGTTATGTTGTAAAAGGAAAGCTTTGGACTCAAGGAATCTGTCTAGGTGACATACCCAATTGGGTATGATCTTTACCCGGTCCGATATGAGATGATTTTGGAAGCTGCTGCGAAATTGCACCTATACCCGGTCGGGTATCCACCTACACCCAGCCGAGTATGACTTGACCTCAAACACTTGAACGTGCTGAAAACACAATTACGTGTAAGGTTTTGCAAAACCAATGTATATACGGTCAGGTATCACCTATTCGGTTGAATATCCGGCTCAGTTTGCTTGAAAGACCTATAAATAGCAACTTTTTCATTCACATTTGATATCTCTTCTTCCATATACTTATGTTCATGTTAGAATAGAGTTTTCTTTATATTTTATAGCATGTTTAGTCTCCAAATGAGGAACTAAACTTCCACATCTTAGTTTTACCCTTGAAGCTTGTTCAATGTTAAAGTTATGACTTATGAGTTATTTTTTTAACTTCTTCCCTTGAATATTAATTTTTCCCTTATTCTATCTCTATATTAATGTTGAGTACTGCTAAGTAATGATTAGTTAATACTTTGACATTAATTACTACTAGAAATCATCAACGATGGTTAATCATTGATGATTTAATAACCAAGTAAATTAGGGTTATTAATGCATGGTCCCATGGTTAGTAATCTTAAGACTTAAGAGGAATTAATTGTGTTGATTAAATCGAAATCGTTGTGTTGAAGTTATTAATCTTAATCGATTTCATCAAGGGGCATTATGAATGTACAATACAAATAAAAAATATCATTATAAGATCAAAATTATATTTTGAAATATTATGAGAGTATTCAAAATGCTTAATACGAAGTAAGTATTATCATCAGTTGATTATTATAAATAGTATCTACCTTTTATTATACGTACTACCTCTGTCCCGGAATTATCTCCTTATTTGACTGGGCACAGGTTTTAAGATAGTGGGAAATGTGTGGTGGAGAGTTGTGCAGAGGAAATAGAAATGTGTAAGAATGGTTGTGAATCACAAATTCTTTGCCAAAAAAGGAAAGAGAAGATAAATTTGGGACGGACCAAAAAGGAAAGAATAATGAAGATAATTCCGGGACGGAGGGAGTAGTAGTTTTCAATAAATTTAGGGAAAATGAAAATTAATAATCCAATCTTTTAGCGGTCTTTTTACAATAATTCCACATTATCGTAATTCAAGAATAATCCAACTTTTGCATCCCATTTTCATTCGTTGGTCCCTGACCGGTTGATGACCTACTATTTCGGGTTTTTTTTATTTTCTTTGCAAATCATTCAACCATAAGTTCCACCTAGCTTCTACAAATCTTCTCGAAACGGTCCCACATATGATTTTTGCTTTTTCTTCCTAATTTTTTTCTTTCCTTTTTATGTATTCCTATTCGTTATAGTCTCTTTTTATAATTTTTCCGGGCTACTTGTTTATATTTTTTCTTTGAATATTTTAGAAAAGAGAAAAATATAGGGGGCATTCCTCAAATTGTATTTAATGAAACTTTAATTGCAAGAATATGAGTATAATTTTAAAATTACTTAAATAGAACTAGCCTCCCAATTCTATCCTTGCTTTGTTTAGTGCAATTCATATTTCATTAATAATTAAAACATAAAAGCAATAACATAACCTTTTTCATAATGAAAATTAAATGTAGAAAAATAAAAATAAAATAAAATAAATTTAAAAAAAAAACTAATAAAACTAAAACATTACAAAATTGAAATTTATAAAATTAAAAACCAAAAACTAAAAATAAAAAACATAAAAAAAGTAAAAACAAATATGCAAGCATTTGCTGCCGCTTCAACCATCTCCCAACACCATGATCTTCGACCACCGTAAAAATGCCAACATGTGTTAGTAATGCCATCTTCATGACATTTTTTTAAAGAATTTGGCATTTTCAAAGAGTAAATTCATGGCAATATAAGAGAAAAAATTGTAGTGTGTACACAAAATGACATTTTTTTCGTCAATCGGAGTTGGCATTGTTGGGAGGTGGTGAGATTGCGAGAAAGACCTCCAATTTTTTAATGTGTTTTATCTATTTTTATTTACTCTTAAAGTTTTCTATTAATTATTTTTTATTACTATTTATGCAATATTGAGGCCTCCAATAAAAAGACCGGTTGGATTATTATGTACTAGCTTTCAAGCCCGTGCGATGCACGGGCAGTATGTAATTTAGCTAATTTGAAATTTAATTTCTATCGGATCACATATAATGTGATTTAAAAGAAAAATAAACTTAGTCTAATATAGAGCCTGTTTGATAATACTAAAGTAAATAGAATTAACTTATTTTGCTGAAATTGATTGAATTCTGGTTAAATAGGTGGAATCTTCTGAATAATGAAAAATATATGTGAAATATATTCCATTTGTGAAACAAAGAAAAAAATATATGAAAAAAGTTAAATTGGTCTTCTACATAAGCATCTCAAGTAAACATAATTGTTATGAACCTAGTAATAAAAAAGTTCTATATTTCTTAATTGTTAGATCTTACAGTTTACTCATTAATAAGAACGTTTTTAATTGAATTAAAATTTCGGGTTTGATTTGTTATGAATTAATATGGTCTATCAGATGTCTGTTTTTTTATGTGACTTATTGTTATAATTATTAAAGTTTGATCTGATCTGATCTAATCTGGAACTGAAATCAATCCAATTAAACACATTCTATTAAAATAAAAGTAGGAATTCGTAAACCTATAAAGATTTTCTAATTTGGATTAGGAATCTATTTCAAAAGTAAAGGCATATTTGAATTTTAGGTGTAAAATAAAGAAACAACCAAAAAATTTACTTATTTGACTAAGCTAAACATATTTACTTGTGAAAATATATATAGGTTATAATTTTTAATTTCATTTTTAATTATTTACTTATTTGAAGCTTACTAATTTATTAATAGGTGTCAAATTAATAAGTAAACTAATTTGCATATTTGTTTCTATTTAATTCGGTGTAGTAAACTAATATAAATTAGTTTCCATATCAATAAACGTTATTAGAATTTCACTCAGATAACCAAAAATTATTTTACTTATTTGAAGCTTATCAAATTAAGTAAGGTGGATTTGTAAGGATTTTTGTTTCCATATCAATATGCAATCAAAAATCGAATCTAATAAAAACAAAAGGTATAAAAATAAGTAAATAATTGTTATATATAATGGCATGACATGATTAATGGATTATGTGACGCTTTGTATGCTCTTAAAAAGTTCCTCTTTTATATATATATATATATATATATATATATTGATTTAATGCATGGTTGACACTTGAGTCTGTCAAGTTTCTTAAACGTATATTTCCTTCGGTTTTTAATTAACTTTACACTTTTCTTTTTTTTCGTTCCATATTAAACTTTACACTTTCTTATTTTCTTTATTTGACAAACAAATCTACATAAAATAATGCAAAACAGTACCAAAAATGTTAAACAATGCTTTTTTTGCCTTTGGAGTCAAATTTATTTTGTTAATACATTGTGAAGTCAAATCTTAAACTTCCTTAACAACCCAGGGAGTAGTACGATTTAGACCCAACCTAACGGAACTGAGCAGAAAATTCATCCTCCTCGCAGACGAAGATAAAACAGTGAAGCATTTGCCGATAGCCATAACACCCCTCTATCGGGGACAACTACATAAAAAGAGAGAGTGAGCGAGAGTTGATTGATGGCTTCTCTCGTCAACAACCCCTTCACTCCTATCCGCAACACCTTCAACACCACCACAGTCAAGTCCGACCTATGTCCCGAACCCAGTTTCTTCAAATGGCGTTGCTCAGGGGCTCAGTCTTTCGCTGCGAAGAGGGCTTCGTTTCCCAGAATCTTGTGCAAAGCCGTGTCTGTGAAGCAGCCCTTACCGTCAGCTACCGACATCGAAGGCCTCAATATTGCAGAGGATGTTACTCAGGTCAGTGTGTCACTGACTCAGTGAAAGTATCATGTCTCTCTTTTTAAATCTTGGGATTAGATTGAAAATTTTACCGGGGCTATGTTTATTTTTGAAGTAAAGATTTAAGTATGAGAAAAGCTATTATTTTCTTCTGTAATTAAAGTTAAAATCTTTTTTTTTTCTGGATAAAAGCATATCGTGGTAGTTTATTCCCCTGGATTCTACTGGGAGATGGTTTATATATTTATTTATTTGATTGTTTTCCATCAAGACAGTATCATTATAGTTGAAGTTGAAATAACATCTTTCTTAGAACGAAGTGTTACTTGAATAGTATTTCTCAAATGTAGTAGTCTGTTCGTGAAGTGTTCTGCCTCTCAAGTCCTTTGTGGTTGATGATGTTATCTTATGCCTAGCAAATATTGTCATAGAATCAATGTTTTCTACTCTGTATTAAACTTCCTTTGTTTCTTGTTCATGCTTTCTCTCTTATATGGTGCTTTCTATATCTGCTTTTCAGTGATCATTTCTAATTCTATTATGGAGTGTGATTATTTTACTTGTATTGTGGACTGTAACTTTTCCTACTTATATTATGGAGTGTGATTTGGTTGCTATAAAACTTTGACAGCTTATAGGGAACACACCAATGGTGTACTTGAATAATATTGTAAAAGGCTGTGTTGCAAATATTGCTGCCAAACTTGAGATTATGGAGCCATGCTGCAGTGTAAAGGACAGGTGAGAGTTTCTGGTTTACATTAAAAATGCCATGAATGTAGAATGTACATGTAATAGCCAATCGGCATCGTACTTGAGATGTAAACTTTCTTTTGATACTTTTCAACTATTTGCTGCTATAATTTCTCACCTATGTACGTCTTAGTTATTGAGGAGGCATACTGTTAGTTACTTAATGGACATGTCATAGTGCCACTCTGTTGTGCGCAAGTACTGATCGTTTAGTCATTTGAGCCCCACACAGAATGGTCGTGGACTCTAATATTATGGAGTATAAGTAACCATCATAAGTTCATAACATGATTTCAAGTGTTAGTAGTTTGGAAAAAGTTTTGTTTATCTCCTGGTACATGATAGTAAAAATACAAAGACCTTAGAAAGTTATCTCGAAATGTAATTTTCTATTGGGATGTGTAAAATATCTTTTCAGGATAGGATTCAGTATGATAAATGACGCTGAGGAGAAGGGACTTATATCTCCGGGAAAGGTAATGTATCCAAGCAATATCTAGTTCATGCCAAATGCATACTTCACACATTTGCATCTCTAAGACATTGTAGTCGTCCTGGATGGGTCTTGGATTCTAGGTATTTTACAATCGGCAACCTTATCATCTTTTGCAGGATGAAACCGATATATATTTGATATCATAGTGCTGAAGTTATTACACCCTGTTAATGGCCTCAATTTTTTGCTGACTAGGGCATAAAAGAACTTACAATCTTTCTGGACTTTGGATGGGGTGTAGCTGTGTGATGGGCTATAATTAATCGAAATTAAGGAAAGTGGAAGTAAGGAAACTTGAGCGAAGATGCCAGTTGTTATCTTATCGTTGTTTGGAAGAAGATAAACGTGCAAATTACCTTACGGACCAAAAATGGTGGAGAGTGAGTGCAGAGGGTGGATGATGTGATTGAAGGCGGAGATAGAGACTAGAGAGTGGAATGTAAAACACTATTTTTTATCACCTCTTCTACACCCATAATCAGTGTTTAGGCAAATCAGCAGAATATAAATGAGGTGTATCGGAGGGTAACACTTAGACTTCCTCACACTTCGCTCACTCTTTTTTCATTTATCTCCGAAAAGGGTAATCCCCTGCCCTTCATCTCTAGATATATAAAACCCTGCATCCTAAGCATTTATTGTCGGCTCATCATATCAATAATAGTTCAATACAATAGTCTTAGAATAATAACAGCCTCTTTATTTTGGTTTTCTGAGAAGTGAGAACAGGACTTGTTCATAATCATATTCAGTGTGTATGCTTAAGTTTCATCTCTAAGAATTTTTAGTATTTAAATAAAGGGATCTGAAATTTAGTTATTACAACTGTTTAAAGTGGTTAAGCTCTGAAAAGCGTTTAATCCGAATGGAATAACAGATCTGTAATCAAACCATTTGATTCAATAAAGAACCGTAGCTGAGTTCAAAAGTCTGGCTGGTGACTTTATATGGCATAGTAAGTTGTTAGAAAATATATTAAGGCAAAAGTGGTAGAACTTGACTCCCGAGAGAAGAAATTTACCCTAAAATAACAGATCCAGAAGTGGCACATTGGATTTTTGTTGATTGTATGAGTGAGCCTGGAATACTTGGCATGCCTGATTAGGCGTGGGTTGACCTTCCCATGGAGGCTAATGGGCAGTCTCATTATGCAGCAAGCTTCTTGGAGAAACAGTCCAGGATAGCTTAGCCCCTAGGTTCAGCTTTGCATTGGTTGCACTCAAAGAATGGTTAGCATGACCCGGGTACCAATGGCGTCAGCTTTAGTGCTGTGCTAATCATGACCCATTTTGCACATTTGTAGTATCCTAGCTTAATTTCCGGGTGTGTTTTCCTGACATGTGCTCAACGTGGATTACAGATCGTAGCTTGATTTACAGGCTTGCTTTACTGACATCCGGGAGAAGTGTCTGAAACACTTGGACTCAAACTTTCTCTTTAAAGAAGAAGCTCAAATTCCCACTTACTTTCTCTCTATACTTTCCAATTACACCTAGTCCCTAGACCCTGGTCGCAAGGCTATCAAAAATAAGCAAAAAGATACAACAAGGTTAGAATGTCATAAATGAAAGAAATTAATGAAGAAAAAAGAACTGTGGCTGTTAGTAGAATAAAGAAATATGGAGGAAGATAACAGAAAATGTTAGGATCCTAAAGTGATTGTAATGTTCTTGGGGTATATTCTACCATGGTTAGATGTACAGGAAAATAGAAGAAAGGTAACACATGGAATGTGATTGAGTTTTCTTAACCTTGAGAAACAGTTCCGTTATTCTCTGAACTGACTCATTTTGCATGCTTTTGATATTCAACTAGTTAGCTCACTAAATTCAACAAGGCTTCGCAAAGAATGATAAAACATATTTTAAAAATAAAGCAAATCCAGGCTAAAATTGGGAATCAACTTATCATTAACAGAATTTGCGATGTTGGTAGCTATCCCTTTTTCCGGAATGACAGTCGGCACATATCATCAGGAAATCAAGCTTGTTTTCAAGCTTGATAAGTTAATACTACCTCCGCCCCATAACATTGGGACATGAGGAGGTGGTCCGGTTATTAAGAAACGTGGGTTTATGTGGTTGATATTGAGTTGATAAAATAAGAATAAAGTAAGAATGGTTTAGAACCACACAAATTTTACCAAATTTGATATAAGGTGATCTTAATGGGACAGACCGAAATGGAAAGATGAGACAATCTCCTCCATGAGGTTACAATTTTGTACCAGGGGAACATAGCTAAAAGATCAAACCTTCTCAAGACTGGAACCACATGAAAATCAAGGCTAGCAACCAGGATTGATATTTTCAAAATCAATCATCATTAATTAGTTCCCTATTAGCCTTGATTGGTTTCGAAGAGGTTTTAAGTTTGGTAAGCTACCTTGTTGATTATTTTTTCCTTATAGCTCACTCTTCGTAATTCCCATACAAAGGAGGTTGCTTTTTGAATAAAGCATGGAAGAATGAATAAATTTAAGAATTGAAAGGTTTCCAAGGAGAAGAGTACTCCATAGCATTCCACGTGTTACCTTTCTTTTTATTTCCACTTACCTTCCCATTCAACCATGAAGCCAGCCCAATCGTCCTTTAAACAACACTAATCGCCCCGTTGACACAGAAAATATATCCCAGGAACATAATAGTGCTGCAAATGGGTTGCTTGTGGCACATGCAATAAATAGAAAAGATATTTTCCAACTATTTGAAATTTTCCTGGAAATTGTCCAACTATTTGAAATAATAAGTATCAAATGTGAAGAAAGAAAGTGTCCTGGAAATTTTCCAACTATTTGAAATTTGTACGAAATAAAAACTCCCTGTTAAAGTAGAATAAAGTATTCTGTATGTATACATCGGTTAAGTAATTATAAAACAAATGTGTGTTTGTGTGTGTTTACATATATTCAATATTTAAAACGAAGGTGGTTCAGGGAATTGTACACTGTTGAACCACAAGATTAGTAATCATTACTCCCTCTTCCCTAAATTAACACCCACTTGTACCTAGCACAATGTTTAAGAAAATTTATATTGTATTGTATTTATTTAGAAGAGAGAAATAATATGAACCGCATATCGCTTTCTTAAAAGAACCGATAGCTTAAGACAGATGAAAAAAGAAAGTGTGAAAATTACATTTGTGATTGATTATGAGTTAAGCTGTAACTTTAATATGCAGCAATACTCAGCTTCGACATAGGGTTCAACAGAAACATTTAGATTACTCATATTTCCCTTAGTTGTTATGATACTTGATAGTGATGCATATCTCTGGGTTCTTTCCAAATTTCAATCTTTATTTACCTATCTAGACTGTCTTGGTGGAACCCACAAGTGGTAATACTGGCATCGGGCTAGCCTTTATTGCTGCTTCAAAAGGCTACAAACTCATCTTAACAATGCCGGCGTCCATGAGTCTTGAAAGAAAAGTTATTTTGAAAGCTTTTGGTGCCGATCTGGTTTTGACGGATCCAGCAAAGGGAATGATAGGTGCTGTTCAGAAAGCTGAAGAAATATTGAATAACACACCTGGTGCCTATATGCTTCAACAGTTTGATAATCCTGCGAATCCAAAGGTATCACGTCCATGTCATGGAAACTGCTTAGTACTAGACGAACTGAATTTTTTCCTCTTTCTCATATGTCTGTTTCTCTGCCACTTTAACTATATAAAGGGTCATCATTTTACTGTCCCATTTCGTAGGGACATTGACGTAATAGAGTTCTCAATGTCACCCATTCATTTTGGATGGTCTAGAAAAAGAACAAGATGATCTTGAATAGCAATTGTTCCAACTCAATTTCAGATAAACAACTACTTTGATTGTTAAACATGACTAGTAAACTGGCTTTCTGCATGTGTTCTATTTCAGGATTTGAATACCAATTGTTTCAATTAATTTTCAGACATGTTACTACTTTAATTTTGAAACATGTTTACTGAACTGCTCTTCTGCATGCTCTCTTTTGACTCAAACTAAAAAGAAACTTGTTTACCCTCACTTTATATGGGGCTGGTATTTTCTTTTTTCCTCAGGGCATAGTGGATTGTTTACCTTAAAACTTGGGGAGTACTAGAACATTTCCAATTAAAATTTACTCCTTGGTTATGGTATGTCTGTGTAGATACACTATGAAACAACTGGTCCAGAGATTTGGGAAGACACAAAAGGAAAGGTTGACATACTTGTTGCAGGGATTGGTACTGGTGGAACCATTTCTGGTGCAGGGCGGTTTCTCAAACAGCAAAATCCTAGCATTGAGGTGATACATGTGTGCGTGTAGGGTTTCAATGGGTACGTTAGGAAGTACCCACCCATGGTTACTTTATATCAACTTTTGATTTGATTGAGAGCGGGAAGAGCATGAGCCAGGACCGGGCTTGGGCCCACTTCCGTGGGCCGGGTTAGGGCTGTCATTAGAGTTTATTTATTATTATTAAGTTAATGTTATGTTTTACTTTGGGCCTATTATTAGTAGAGTACTTAGTAGAGTTATTATGGGCTTAATTAGGATTTAATTAATCCGGGCTTGATTAGGATTCTAATTCTACTAATTAGAATTTGGGGACCATTGCCGACCCCAATTTTTTTTTGGGATTAAGGCTTGGATGTTGTTGTTGTGGGCTTGATTAGGGTTTCTCTTAGAAGGCTATTTATACCCCTTGTCAGGGTTCATTCTATCTCATCTTGGAATAAAATTGGTTTTAGCCTTTTGGCTCTGGGCAACGGTATTTTATCATTGATTATCTGGGCAACGGTTTACCCCGTTGATTTTATTTTTCTGTTACACAACAATTGGTCCGACCTGCCGGATCCCGTCCCGCCAGGATGATGAGATCTCAGATCGAACGCTGGACAGAGATGGTCGCCAAGCAAACTCAGATGAATCAAACCCTAGAGGAGCACGGCATGCGTCTGGCAGAGATTGCCGCATCCCTGGCAGCGCTTACCAAGGCGCTAATTCCTCTGGTCATGCCGGAAACAAGTCTGGACGCGGTTGGCAGCCCCACCGTATCTGCGCACAACAGTGACAGACAACTGTGCAGCGTCACTTCCTCCTTGGCTACGTTTACAGAGGCTCTCACGTCGCCAGCGGTGGAGGAGCATTCAACGGTGGTGGCTTCACTTGACGCGGCAGCAGCATCCTCGTTCCGAATTGGACTGTGCAGCACCTTTCTCACGATGTTGCCCTCGTTTAACGGAGAAGAACTGATCAGCTGGGTTGATAGGGGTGAGCAACAGTTCGAATTGAACTGTACTCCGCCGGGAAAGAAGATGGCAGCCGTTGTAGTTGCGATGGAAGGGCCAGCCTTATATTGGTTGACCTGGTTACAAGCACGAAAGCCGGTCATGTCATGGGATGAGCTTACACAGGCATTGGTGGCTCATTTTGACTCACGGTTTAAGGGCAATTGCTTTAAACGGCTGCCCGGAGGCAAGCAGACAACGACTGGGGAGGAGTACATCTCAATTTTTCCTAAAGATACTGGGCAGCCCCCGGGGACAAATGTGAGCCGGTTTCCGGATTTCAACCTTGAGGACAAGGTTATTTTGAAGGAGGATGGATTGATAGAGAGCGGGAAGAGCATGAGGCGGGACCGGGCTTGGGCCCACTTCCGTGGGCCGGGTTAGGGCTGTCATTAGAGTTTATTTATTATTATTAAGTTAATGTTATGTTTTACTTTGGGCCTATTATTAGTAGAGTACTTAGTAGAGTTATTATGGGCTTAATTAGGATTTAATTAATTTGGGCTTGATTAGGGTTTCTCTTAGAAGGCTATTTATACCCCTTGCTAGGGTTCATTCTATCTTATCTTGGGAAAAATTTGGTTTTAGCCTTTTGGCTCTGGGCAACGGTTTACCCCGTTGTTTTTTATTTTTCGGTACACCACATGATTCTAGGTCAAATGGTCAGAATTATTTTGGCCGGCATTCAATGCTTACTTAAAAGTACGTGAGCATTAAGTTTCAACTTTCAAGTTTAAAAAAGTGTATCTATCCATGGAGGCTACCTAATGAAAACTCTTCCATGCACAGATAGGAACACACAGACAGATACACGCGCGCACACATACATATACATATATACATAATACATGGACATATGTATGTACATACAAATATCCATGGCTCACACACATGAGTTTTATGATGATGATCATCATCATCATCTGGACTTTAATCCCAAGTAGTTGGTATTGCTGGCATAGGTTTCTAGCATAGTAGACTTGCTTCGTTGCTCTTAAAAATTGATTTTGGATGTTGCAATGTCTAGCATATGCATATAACCTCCAACATTCTACTGTCCTTTGTGTGTTTGTCGCAGTGCAATTTACTTGTTTTTCCTTGTGCGTCTTATCAGATCATTGGTGTGGAGCCTGCACAAAGCAACGTATTATCTGGTGGAAAGCCTGGTGAGATAGCAAAGTTGTCTATACTCATATTTACATTTCACACCTTTTTAATTCGAAATTGCAGGCCCTCACAAAATTCAAGGGATTGGAGCAGGTTTTATTCCAAAAAATTTAGATCAAGATGTTATGGATGAAGTTATAGAGGTATGTAATTTTTAAAACTCAATGATTGTTCAATCTCTGTATACATACATAGATTTCATTACCTTCTACTTTTGCTCCATGCAATTTATATTTTGGTTTTGATTCTATGCACTCTCGCTTTATGGGTTATTTGGTGTGCATGTGTGCGGTCTAATACTAAAGTTTTTAAAAGCGGCTTTAAGCCTTGAGGCGTCTGGTTTTTATGAGGTGAGGCACGAGCCTCGAAGTTGTGCGAGACACAATAACTTAACTTGCATTACTTGAACATCATAAGATTAATGTTAGAATTAGATCTATGTGAGACAATAATATTTTAAAAACAAAGTAGTAAAATTAGGTACTCCTGACATCTTGAGCCACATAATTAGTTTCAAACACGTTTCAAAACACATGCTCAGAGCAGCATCAGGAAAATTAAACTCCTGACAATATTTTAATCGATTCATGTGATTTGATTCTTCATTTTATAACTTCATGCACCTGCAAGAAATTTAGAAGTCAGAGAACATTCGTAGCAGGTACTCCAAAACAATGATTCTTTGCCCCACAAAAACGAAGATAATAGATTGAAGTTTGTCAAAAGAGTTATGAGAAAAGAAGATAGTCTGAGAAAAGTTCTAAAGGTTCACCATGAATAAAAAAGGTTGACTAACTTTGCAATAAAACTGAGTTGCATGAAGCTTGTGAGAAGAAGAGTTGTTTGTCTTCTTAGTGGAGTATGTTAAATGGTGATTAAGCAGTGCAGTTTGTGTGAATCTGAAGAGGGTTGCTGATTTGAAAACCGACTTGATGATTCTTTATGGCCTTTAAGTGACTTTGTTCTTCAGAAAATTCTATTCCCAATATGACCAAAATGATAAACCTTATTATAAAACTTATGAAGCTTAAGCCTAAATCAAGGCCTCAAGTCTTATGAAGCTACCTCGTCTCATTCATAAAGGCGTAAGACTTAAGGCTATAAAGTTCACGTTCCTTAAATTGAGATGAGCCATATGCTATATCCACTTCAGTGCTCGTATATTTTCATCAATTGTTTAAGAATTAAGATATCTCTATGAAGCACAAAACTTTTAGGGGAGTATTGTTTATGTGTTTCTGAATTTCTGAAACTTTCAGGAAACTAGCAATCCTTTATTACAACTTTTTCTGTTTAAAGATTATGTTTCTCCGGGTCGCTATTTCATTTCACATTTCTTGTGTTTCCATTTCCGTGCAACATAGATATCAGATGATGAAGCTATTGAAGTTGCAAAGCAATTAGCACTTAGAGAAGGATTGCTGGTTAGTGCTTTCATATCTTTCACTCTTTCAGATCTGTGGAGAATTTTTAGTGATTTATTGTTCATGATGATTGGTTAGACGTCTTTTCTTTCAGATTATCTCCATGAAGACTAACATGAATTCCTTTTGTTAGTTGATGCTTTAGTTTTCAATAAGTTACCATTCTTTTTCTTTGTTTCACACTTCCAGCTTATGTTTGTATTGGAAATGCAAAAATTTTATGGAACCATATGTGACTCTCCTATAGAGTCACATATGGTTCTATAAATCTACTCTCGGAAATGACAGTCAATAGAGCAAACTCAGTGTTTTGGTTTTTATATTAGTAGGTTCTTACTTCTTCCCCATGATCTTGATTGCAAGGAATAACTGTTTTCCCATTCAAAGAAATGCGTATACTAACAGATATTGTTATAAGTTAGACGGCCTTTTGCAATGGATAAAAAAGGTTGACTAACCTTTTTGCAAATGGATAAGGTAGAAATAAAATGAATGATTTTTTTGGAAATCATTTCTTCCTCCATGTTTGCAAGTGCATTCCTTTTGCTGCAATACAGGGAGGAACTGCCTAAAATGGAGTTTTTTGTACCTCAGCCTACACGCATAAATTATATTAACCTTGTGAGTTGAGTAGTAATGATGTTATCCTTAAAGTCTTTTGGTTATTTATTCCCTTCCAAGCTATAACATGAGTACTGCTTATTCTTTTCCATATAGAACAACTCCCATGTTATTGTAATAAATCTTATGCTATTTGGTTTTTAAAATATTTTTACATGTTCTGCTCTGAACTTTGTAATGATCAGGTGGGCTTTTCCTCTGGAGCAGCTGCAGCAGCTGCGATGAAGGTTGCTAAGAGACCAGAGAATGCTGGAAAGCTTATTGCGGTAGGTCTAGTTGTAGTTATTAGTTCTTGTTTGTTCCAGATAAGCATTTTTTTTACAAATTGTAGGCATATAGTTTGGGGGAATCACGTAGTATAACGTCCTCTCTCTGCCAAGTCTGCTTTCAAAAACCATCTAATCCTAAACAATTGCAGGTTGTTTTCCCTAGCTTTGGAGAGAGGTACCTGTCAACTGTACTTTTTCAATCAATTCGGGAGGAATGTGAAAAGCAGCAACCAGAGATATGAGCATAGTGTACAAGCCTTTTTCATTATGCAGTAATCTTCTGAACACAAATTAAACGATTTTGACAATCTTTTGTATACATTCCTTCTCCCTTTTGGGATTGTTGTTTATTTCTCCTAGTGTACAAGCCTTTAGTGAAATGATGATGGTCATTAGTCATTACTATATTTTAAGTTTTGACCGTATAACCGTATTCATCCTTTTGTTCTAAGTTTACGATTCAAATCTGTATGACCTCTGAAGCAAATCTCTGCATTAGGGTTGGACTCGGGTCCGGGCCGGGTCCGGGTCAGGCCTAGGCCCGGGCGGTCCGGCGGGTCAGAAATGGTGGACCCGGGACCGGCCCGGGTAACCACCGGGTCCGGTCCGGGTCCGGGCCGGGCCAAACCCATTATATATATTTTTTTTTTGTTTTCCTCTTCCTAATTAACCCCCCTCCCACCCCCAACCCCCCAAACCACCCCAAATGGCCCAAAATACCCAGCCCAACCCGAAAAGTTAAAAAAATTGAAAAAACAAAAAAAAAAAAAATTGGCCCGAACCGGGCCCGGCCGGGTCGGGCCTTGTTTTGGGTGACCCGAGCCCGGACCGGAAAACCCACGGGCCGGGCCTACCCGGACCGGTCACTGACCGGGCCACCGGGTCGGGCCGGGCCGGAACAGTGCCGGTCCCGGGCCGGTTCCGGGTCGGGCCACCCGGCCCGAGTCCATCCCTACTCTGCATATTTTAAAGGTTGCTCAACTTTGGTAGTAGATGAATTTAGATATGGGTCAACGAAAATGCTCAAGGTAACATTATGGCAAAAGAGAAGAAAAAAGTACTCCATATTGGTTTTTGCAATCAGCTATCTTCAATCTTGATTTCATTTTCTTTTGGTGATTATAACTTTATAATTTACGTCGTATATCTAGCATTCAAAGTAGGGAGGACAATTATGGTAGATCTGATGGATTAAGTAATGTCCAGTTTAGAAAATACTATCAATTGTGGCCACAGAAATAGGGAGTGCATTTATTTGTTCTAAGAAATTGATCTAAATAGAATTAAAAAAATTGTGAAATTCCAAAATAGGATTAAGTAATGTAATGTTTGCAATGTACTTTTTATCTAAATGTTGTTAATTATTTAGATAAAAAGTCACTCTTGTTTTGAAATCTCATTATTTACTCTTATTCTGAAAATTTTCCAAAATCGCCATGTCTATATCGACCTTTATGGAGACCAAACATGTATTACGATTGATTTGCAAATTTGACTTTCTTGGTTAAACAGTTTCGTTTTATTTGCTTAATTAGGATGTCAATTTTTAATTATATTCTAATTTTGGAGATTACATTTTTGAAGAGATTTTAATGTAGTTTCCAAATATGTAAGTTTTAATTATTAAAAATTGAATTAATTATCGATTGGAAGGATTGACTTTTATTATTTGTTGACCAAAAATTGTTGATTTTGCAAAACAATTTGGGACGGAGGGAGTATGAACTAAGGGTAATTCTATTCATAAACTTTCCCTTTTGGAGTATTATCTAATACTATCTCCGTCCCTTAAAACTTTGCCAAAGTTGACCGGTACGGAGAATAATAAAGTAAAAACTGTATGGTTGAGATTTGTGCAGAGGAGAGAGAAATAACAGAAATCATAAAATAATTGATTAAAAGGGAAAGTGACAAAGTTTTTTGGGACGTCCCAAAAAGGAAAGATGACAAAGTTTTAAGGGGCGGAGGGAGTATTTAGTATTCCCCAATCCCCAAAGAGAGGTAGATGCGATGCCGGAGAGATTGATGATGATGGGGAAAGAGTTGGTTTGTGATGTCAAATCCCATACCTTGTACCCATGTTTGGCAGTCATAAGTCTCTGTCTTCTAGTTTTTGTACCGTTCAAAAAGTCTCTATAAACTTCCAGTTTTATGTTTGGCATGGCAATTTTTAAGAGCTTTTCAAAAATTAAAAGATCTTTTTTGAGATGCTACAGAGAGTAGAATCTGAAAAAAGCCCGTGACTTTTAGTATTAATTAGTCCTAACAGCTTGTATACCAAACCGAACTAAATCAAACAGTCAGCTTTTTATCAAACAGCTACCACCTTTTCTCTTTAAGATCTTTTTAGTCACTAAAAGCTTACAGTTATTAAAAAGCTCACAAAAGTATCTTTTCAGCTAGTTGTGCTAAACATATCCTATGTTTGGCACAACGAGCTGAAGCTGGAGGCTAATGTCTGAATAAGAGACTATTATCTGGAGCTAAAGTTTGAAGTGTTGGATCTGAATTGCCAATTGAATAGAGTAGACCCGTTTGACAAAAAGAACTGAAAAATGCTCGGATAATATGAAATTACTTTGAGGGACATGATTTATTAACTTTCATCCGTAAGCTACAGTAGGCAACAAACAAAACTTTAATTTAAATCTAGTTGCACACTAAGGGGGTGTTTGGATCTGATTCTTAAAACTGCTTCTGCTCCCTGAGGGAGCAGAAGCAGAAGTTGGAGTGTTTGGGTGAAAGTGCAGAATCAATTATGGTGCTCTAATTTACTCTTAGAATCAGTTTTTTAGAAGCTGGGGGTGACCAGCTTCTGAAAACTTATTCTTATTCTGCTTCTGATTTAAAAAAGAAGCAGAATCAGTTCCAAACACCCCCTAAAAAAGCAAAAACCTCTAAATTCTAATCTGAATAAATTCCACGATGGTACATTAATTGAAACAAAAAGATACAGATTCTTGCAAAAAAAGATAAAGATGATGGGACTTGAAGTCTCGGCTTGGTTTTTTCTCTATCGTCCCTGATTTACAAATTACAATTGATGCTGAGTGGACGTGATGACTGCTGCAGTGCTGCCGTTTATCGATTTATGGCTAGAAGTCTAACTCTGCACCGAATTGAAGCAGCAAATTAAAAACGATAAAATCAAAGACCTTTAGAACCGATAATGGAGATTTGGATCAACTATATCTGTAACGGATCGGGAGATGAAGAAGTCTTCGACCAGACAACGGAGCAACGATCACCAGACTCTTGGACTGATAGAGAAAGTTGTGTTCAGGAAGTTTTAGAGACAGCGACAACAAAGATTGCTCCATCAACTTGTGAAATACGCCCAAGGATAGAATTGGTATTGAAGGTCTATTCTATGACCGGCTAGAAAGAAACGTTAGGTTGCTCAGCGTTTCATTTCAATCAAAAAAATTCAGTTTAAGCTCACTTAAGCTATTTGTCCAAACAAAGCTAGTTTTAAGATAAATAGCTAGATTTATAAAATTTCAGCCCTTTTTGAGCTAAAGTGACATGCCAAACATAGCCTAAATCATATTGGTTGGTATTGGCCGAGCCACAAAGGAATGAGCTCCAAAAAGGATACCTCCGGAGAGGGGCTCAACTTGGCTTAATAAGGAGTACCTCCGCTCCAAAAAGGACTTCGCCAAAACTTAGGGTCCATCTAGGGATGGACCCGGTCAACGGTCCCGAACCGGAACCAGACCCGCCACTGTGCGGGACCGAATCGGATCCATTTTCCCGGTTCCCGGCCTTGGATAAGATACCCGACAGGGTATTGGGCGGGCTCGGTCTCGAGTAGGTAGTCTGGGGACTTGACCGGGAAGTCTGGGTCTCGGTCCCAATGGCCATAATTTTTTTTTTGAATTTTAATTAGGGGGTGGGGCTGGGGACCGGACCGGAACAGAACCGGCCGGGGAAGACCAGACCGGAACCGGGTATGTTGTAACCTGGGTCAGTTCCGGTCTTCACAAATACAACCCGGGACCGGCCGGTCCAAGACCGGAACCAGGATCGGGTCCATCCTTAGGTCCATCTATCATGCCGACATTTCTACCACATCTCTGAGACTCTGACTTTCAGTCTCTTTGGCCTAGCTCATTCCTTTGTGGCTCGGCCAAGACCAACTATGTCACCACAATTCAATCAACGTCAACGAGTAAAATATAAACAAATCTGATTAGAAAATATCAGTTACTTAGCAAAAAACCATCAAAATTGCAAATTGACTATCCAGTCTCGAGCACTATAAAAAACAGAAACAAAACAGACACCATAACAGGCAAGTACAAAATACAAATGGACTGTATCTACGAATCATGCATTATAGCTCCATCCATCGCCAAGTAAATTGCATTCTTGATAGCAAGCACATGGAGGAACTTTTCATCTTTACCACTCTATCCACTGTATTCTTGATAGCTAGCATATGTTTTACACTTGGTGCACTCAGAGCTGCACGTCCCTATTATATATCCAACTAAAAGGAACAATGGGAGCTTGTTTGGCTCTCCCTTGAGCTCTCGCCTCCAGTTTTCTGATTCTAGGAGGCAGCCCACACACATAGTCTTGAGCTTTTCTCCCTTCAGATGAAAGTCCTTCAAGACTTCCCACTTTCCATCTACCCACGAGAAACTCTAAGATGTCCGCATAGTCTCTAGCCGTGTAGACACCAAGCCTTTGAGCCACTGCTGAGAAGTGATCAAACAGATCATCATCCTGGCCATCATACATCAAGTGTGCAGGCATTGAGATTTTCTTCTTCATCATGTCCGCGAAAGCCACCACTGTCCCATCAGGATCAACCTCAAAGAGTTTTTCCACTATCTTGGTGTATGCAGTCTCATGGCGCTTCTCATCAGATGCAATTATGCCACAGACTTGAGCAAGTTTCAGGTCTCCATGCTCCTTTGCAAGCCTACCAGTGTTTCCATGGGATATAAATGTTGCCCTTTCTTGAAAGGATGTGTAGATGAACCCAAGGTAGGGATTGTTTTCGGTTCGAGGGTCCTAAAAAGAATTATGGCAAAGTAGTTGGTTCAGAAATACATAAAACACTCAAAATGATCAAGTGCAAAGGATAAGAGACTACTGAGGTGGAGGATACACGAGAGCAGACACTAAATATGTACTACAAAATAAGTCCTCTTTGACCAGGCTACAACACTTGGTACGGTATAATTGCCATTAGTCATGAAGCATACTTATATAGTTATGCGTGTAGATAAGCACACACATACATGAGTGCAGTGCAGAGTTTCAGTATGTACCTTGAAAGTATCCATCCAATAAAAAATTGGATCGCAACAGTTCGATTCAGTATTAACTGTATTATGATCACTATAGTGTTAAATTGATGTCCACATTGAAATTTGGGCATATTTAATTTTATAGTTATAAAAAGGCACCGATACTGCTATCCATGAAAATATTTTGATATACATGCATACATGATACATGCATATAGAGAGAAATCTTCCTATCAATCCTTTCTGACGGTTTTAGTCGGGGAAAACTTTCTTCCACCATTGGATTACTTTTAGGGGGTGTTTGGGTCCGCTTCTTAAAACTGGGCAGATATTGTAGTGTTTGGGTGGAAGTGCAAAAGTACTTCTGAGGGCTCAAAATTGCTCCTAGAATTAGTTTTATAGAAGCTCGGGGAGACCAGCTTCTCAAAAACATATTCTAATTCTACTTCTGCTGTTAAAATAGAAGTAGGAGTAGAATGAAATCTAAACACTCCCTTAGATGGCAGCTCAAATAGCAAGGTAAGCACAACCAAAGGTGGCCGAGACTACTCCTGACTGAAATTATCGGGAAAGATAAACAAGAAGATTCCCCTATATACGTGTGTGTTTAATATGCATGTGTCTACATATGCATGTATGCATGCACGAGGCAGTGATCAGCAGAGACATTGAAATATTCCTTACAGAATGTTTGCATAGAAAGTTCTTTTTCCTCTCTAACAGTGTGATAGAAGAGCTGATAGTTAATGAGTGATGGTAGACAAACTCAAAGTATGTGATACTTACCATTCCTGACCCAATCAAGTACTGGATTGTTTTCTCAATTGCTTTCATGTCAACTCTACCAGAAAGGTAAAGATACTTATTCAGGAGGTCACCATGCCTATTCTCTTCAGCAGTCCAGGCCCTCGTCCAAATAGCCCAAGAGGTGAGGCTTGCCCCTGTTTCATCCCTAACACCGTCAAGGGTGTTGAGCATGGTTTGATAAGTTGGAAGAGCTTCTTCTGTGATCATATCTCCAACTAAAACAATAAAATATTCATCTGGAACCTCCCTAGCCCTCTCCCTCAGTTCCTTGACCTGATCATCAAAACCATCTGATGCTGGATCTGGTAGAAAATCTTGTGGTTGCCAACATTTTTCAACGGGCTTCAAGTGAGTCAATATATTTTGCTCAGCCCAACCTTCTAAAGATTTGAATATCTCAATTTTCTGAGGTGGCATAGTGTGTGTGACTTGAACATGAACCTCACGTGGTGGAATAAAAGGCTTCTTCAGGTTCTCAACTTCCCTAATAAGCATATTGAAGAAGTTTAAGTTGGGGGTCAAGATGTGAACCATAATATGCTCTAAGCCTTAAACTTGATTAGGAATATTAGATATAGTCAATGAAGGTTATGAAACAGTCATAAAAAAATAAGCTGTAAACAAAATCAAGAGTTTAACAAGAAAGCCTCAAGCACAACCAATCCATCAAAGTACCATTACTGTATCTAGCAATGGGGTTTATGAAAAACGCTCGATCTGGGAATTAAAGGAATGAGGAACTGTTTGGGAAAATCAAAAGAAAATCCACTTTTAAAATCAAATTTGTACGAGTCTTTTCAAATACACGGAGGAACAAATCCGGATGGAAAGAAAACGAGGAAGTTTCTTGACTTTCTTCTATTGAGAGCATCGTACACCTCAAACCAGAAATTAATAATTCAAAAGAGAACATTATTAGAAACTGAAAAATCGCGGATTGAACCATATAGAACCCAAACCAAACAAAATGTGCGCAACTCCAGATCGGAGAGAACGCAAAAGAGACCAAATTTCTATAAAAGGAAACCAATCTATCAGAAAATCCATCAGAGGATACCAAATGCTCGCGAGAGCCCCGGTCAAAATCACTAAAAAGTAAATCAAGCAAGAAGAAGACTTTACTTTGTTCCAGAAGAGAGGGTTGAAGCCATATAAAACTTCGGAGATCTAAGGTTGCTCCTCAACATTGGTGGCAGTGCAAATGAGGAATACTTGTGAGACTGCAAGTTCAGGGAATTCATCTTCAGAGCCATATTCTGCAAATTCTTCGTCTGCCTTTGTTATTAAAGGAAAATGGAAAGCCTTTTAATTTGTGGTTTCGTATGAATTTCAGGGTCTCCTTCCAACTCACAGACCGAATGTCAGAGAATGCAAATCGCCGAAAAAGGCAACGACTCTCAGGTGGGACAGCTATTCTCTGGTACGGACTTGAGGTTATACTCCTTATTTATTAGCCGTAATAATACGGAGTAGGATGATACGTGTCTTTAAGATGCAAACGGATGACCAGTGGGAAATGTGTAGTGGAGAGTTGTGCAGAAGAAAGAGAAATGTGTAAGAATATGTAAGAATCATTGTGAAACACAAATTCTTTGTTAAAAAGGGAAAGAAGAGATAAATTTGGGACAGACCGAAAAGGAAAGTATGAAGATAATTCCGGGACGGAGGGAGTACACCATATCTTATACGGAGTAAAGAAATTTGAATACTATTTTGGTTGATTTCAATGTTTCTCATCTCAATTTTTTAAGATCTAGTTTTATTTAATTTGATTTTCTTAATCTCACCTGACTCTTTTTAATCTGATTTGATCTGATCTGAATAAAATAAAAATAAACAATAAGTAATAAGAATAAGACGAACATAACAACTTCTAAATTACTCGAAGACGGGAGGTCCTTCAAGAAAAATCCTTATTCAAGAGCATTTGAATATTTAAACATCTATCTGGAGATCAAGGAAGAATATTTAAAAACTCGAAGAACACTCAGAGATCTAAAGAACACAACTTCAACAATCTAAGATAATTCAAATATCAAAAGATTTAAAGATTTAATATTAAAAGTGTGTTTAGTAAGTCATAGTTTCAACTTATCAGTTGTTGAGTTTAGTCCAACATAAACTAATAGATATAGATATGAATATGTATGAAAATGCTTTGTTTTTACGTGGAAACCCGGAAAGAGAGAAAAACACGAGACTTTTTAGGCTAACGTCCAAACCCGCTCTTTCTCATTAATACCCTCCTCACCAAAATACATAATACAAGTTTTGGAGCTCTCATTAATGGAGATTGATCCTATCTAAAGAGGAAGAAGAAGCAGGGCAGAAGAAGGGGAAGACCTAATGGGCCGGAAAGACCTTAACGGTCCAAAATGGCCCGGGTAGGCCTAATTATCCCTTTTCATCGAAGCCTTGCTTCCTATTTATAGAGGGGGGGGGGGGGGGGGGGGGCTTTCAAGCCTAATGGGCCGGAAACACCTTAACGGTCCAAAATGGCCCGGGTAGGCCTAAATGGACCTTGCCCAGTCTTCGTACCGGGGTGATGCCTTGGGCCTCTGAACAATAGTAGGCCGGGATAATATTCCCCAACATAAGTCCCCCTGTTTCTTGAGTAGTGAGCCTGTGAATCTACTCGAGAAAGTATACTCTTGCTTACGTTCTTCCTTTCCCTCCCTGAATCGGTGTCGTCGAATAGTCCTGGGCGTAAGGCATGCATAAATGATAGGTGAGGTGCAGTCCCCACCCTAGGCACGACGGCGCTGAACAACCAGCCGCTCGTGCTGCATTAATTGGCAGTCCCGACCCTAAATGGCATGAGCTGACCCGACCGAAAAGAAGTCACGATGGCGCTGAAGAGCCGACCGCTCGTGCCACATAAAGCGGCGGTCCCGACCCTGAATGGCATGGGTGGACCTGATTGACAAGAAGACACGACCGGCGATGAAAAGCCGGCCACTGGTGCTGCACAAAGCGACGGTCTTGACCCTGAATGGCATGGGTGGACCCGATCGACAAAAAGACACGACAGCGCTGAAGAGGCGGCTGCTCGTGCTGCATAAAGCGGCGGTCCCGACCCTGAATGGCATGGGTGGACCCGATCGACAAGAAGACACAACGACGCTGAAGAGCCGGCCGCTCGTGTTGCATAAAGCGGCGGTCCCGACCCTGAATGGCATGGGCGAACCCGACCGACAAGAAGACACGGTGGCACTGAAAAGTCGGCCGCTCGTGCTGCATAAAGTGGCGTCCCGACCCTGAATGGCATGGGAGGACCCGACCGAAAAGAAGACACGACGACACTGAAGAGTCGTTCGAGCTGCATTATACGACGACCGCCATCCCAGATTAGGAATAGACGAGCCCGACCGAGAGTAAGCACGACGACGCTGAGGAGTCAGCCGCTTGTGCTGCATAATGTGACGGTCGCCATCCTAGATTAAGGATTGACGAGCCCGGCCGAGAGTAGGCACGACGGCGCTGAGGAACCGTTCGAGCTGCATAATACGACGGTTGCCATCCCAGATTAGGAATAGACGAGTCCGGACGTGAGTAAGCGCGACGACTCTGAAGAGTCGTTCGTGCTGCATAAGATGATCAAGCGAAGAAAGGAACTCTTATTCCCCAGCTCAATCCGAATCAGCTGAGATTACCTGTCCGGTCTGATTTGGACGGATCACTCCAACTAATTGGTCGGGGATGACTACCGCACTCTACTAGCCGTCGCGACATTTGGGTAGCCTAAACGTGTATGCCACGCACTTGTGAACGCGGTTGTAGAACCCCTATCCTTTGGATGGGGTATTCCACTGACTTGACTCTAAAAGACTCGGACCCGTCAGCTCAGGACTCATTGGTCCACCATTTGTTTTACATCATTTCCAAACCAGTTCGATCCACCGTTCGATCTTCTTGACAAGCGGATCGTCTCTCTTGGCTGAAATGATGACTCACATCCAATTCACAGTTCGATTCCCCCGTTCGTCCCATAGAATGGCTCGACGTACTATGCCTGGGGTGAGAATTTTAACCACAGTTTTGATTCCCCCGTCCATTTTTTCCGGTACGGTTCGTCCATACTTATGGCCTTATCACCTCCAAACCCATGTTTCAATGCCCCGTTCGAGTTTTTCGATACGATTCATCCATACTTGTAGTCGAGGTGACATTTTATCGGAGCCCTGATCTCCTTTTCTCTCGTTTTCTCTCTGGGTTTTCCAATTGGAATCTCGCATCCACCTTATATATGTATATATATATATATATATATATATATATATATATATATATATATATATATATATATATATAGGGAAGAGATCAAATAAAAAGAGGTTCTCCCGTGCAAAGTGCGAACAACTGCACTTTTTCTTCACCGCGTTGCACTTTTGCGTGTTTCTGTTGCACTTTTTCGCGATGGCAAAAAACTTCGTTTTAATTACGAAATTGCCACCGCGTTTTTGATCAAATTTAGTTCACTTTTGGCTCATTTTGAGCCATTAGATCTCAAAATGAACGCACGAGATTAATTCTCACTTTGCATGGGAAGACCTCTTTGTATTTGAACCCTCCCCTATACATATGCATATACATATATATATATATATATATGTATATGCATATGTGTATATATATGTATGTGCATATGTGTATATATATGTATGTGCATATGTGTATATATATGTATGTATGTATGTATGTATGTGTATATATATATATATAGAATAAAGATCAAATGAGAAGAGTGCTTATCGTAAGAAATGAGAATGCATCTGGTGCGTTAATTTTAAGATCTGTGCATCAGATTAGCAAAAAAGTGCACGGGAAAATGCAAAAAATATTTAAAAAGTGATGCTAGACGCGGTGGCATATCCGTAATTAATCGGAACTTTTCTGCCATCCAAAAAGTGCATCAGATTAGCGAAAAAGTGCATCAGAAAGAGGCAAATGTGAAGCTTCTCACTTCTCACGCTAAGATGTCTTCTTATTAGAACCCAACCCTATATATATATATATATATATATATATATATATATATATATATATATATATATATATATATATATATATAGGGGAGGGTTCTAGTGAGAACTCTCTTAAAATGAGAACCCGTGAGAACCCCATGGAACCGGTGGTATTTTTGGCTGAAATTTTTTGTGTATGTTCCTCATCAAGTCTAATTGATCCATACCAAATTTGAGCAAAAATTCAATCGGGAAGGTAGTCGAATGATTTTTGAAAAAAACTGCGTTATATATATATATATATATATATATATATATATATATATATATATATATATATATATATATATATATATATATATATATATATATGTATGTATATACACACATACATACATACATGGACTCACAATGATGATCACGTCGTGCCGGGGTGGCCGATCGCGGAGATGATGGAGCTATAAAAGTAGTCAGGTCATCTGAATAGTAGGTCTTCCTCCGTGGAACGTGAAGATGCCCTCAAGGTGATAAACATGTCGTGATCATCTGCAATGGAGCTGAGGGGCCAATCGTACTGTAGGAAGAAAGAGGACTGGTGGTTACCTGAGCGAGCTTGGGAAATTAGGGATTTGAGCAGAAGTCAAAGCACTTGAACGAAGATGCAAACTTCGGAAACCCGGGGCCAAGGGTCCAAAGTCATGCTTATAACCCAGAAGCGCCGATTCGCAGAACAATCCCAGGGGAACACATCACGATGAGCATCCCCAGGGACACATGTCGCACAGAGTTTTGGAGCGTCCTGACCTTTTAGGCTAACGTCCAAACCCACTCTTTCTCATTAATACCCTCCTCACCAAAATACATAATACAAGTTTTGGAGCTCTCATTAATGAAGCTTGATCCTATCTAAAGAGGAAGAAGCAGGGAAGAAGAAAGGGAAGTCCCCAGGAGAGAAGAGCCAAAAGGATCCCTTTTCATGGAAGCATTGCTTCCTATTTATAGAGGAGGGGGGGGGGGGGGGGGGGGGCTTTCTAGCCTAATGGGCCAAAAAGGCCTTGTTAGTCCCTGTTTCTGTAACAGCAATGAATAACGATCTAACAACGAAGATTAAACGTAAGGATGAACACAGAATGAATCAACATAAAACCTTCTTTGATAAACCGTGAACTCGTACAACAGAAAGATATGCGCGTAAGGCTATGAAGAATAAGTACGACATTGACCTATTCCTAAACCTCGGCTCCCTTTTTATAGGCGAGGTTTAGGTTAGGCGTACCAGGCTTTTAGCCTGTTTATATGGGCCTAACATTTGGCCTGATTTCTATCTAATTCATGCCTTAATTAAATACAAGGATTAAATATAAAGCTAATCTATGACCAACTTGATTCACAATTAAATATCTCCAACAATCTCCCCCTTTGTAATCAAGTGCCATTCTCTTATTGCTTCTGAGACTTAAAGTAGTGCTTCCTCATACCAAGTGCA